CGACAGAGTGAGATTCCAACTCAAAAAAAAAAAAGAGCAGGGAGACAACCCACAGAATGGGAAAAAGTATTTGCTAATTATGTATCTGACAAAGGCCTGACATCCAGGATCTACAAGGAACTCAAATAAGCTAAAAAGAAAAAAACCAAACAATCCTATCAAAAAGTGAGCAAAGGGATAGACATGTTTCGAAAGATATACAAATAGTTAACAGACACATGAAAAATGCTCAGCCTCATTAATCACCAGAGAAATGCAAATCAAAACCACAATGAGATACGATCTAATTCCAGCAAGGATGCCCTCATCAATAAATCAAAAAATAACAGATGCTGGCAAGAATGCAGAAAAAAGGGAACACTTCTACACTGTTGGTGGGAGTGCAGTAAAGTTCAACCTCTATGGAAAGTAATGTGGCAATTCCTAAAAGAACTAAAAATTGACCTTCCATATGATCCAGCAATACCTCTCCTGGGAATATACCCAGATGAACATAAATCATTCTAAAAAAAAAAAAAAAGACACCTACACATGCATATTTATAGCTGAACTACTCACAATAGCAAAAATATGAAACCAACACCACTGCTCATCAAAAGTGGGCTGGATAAAAAAAAAAAAAAAAAAAAAAAAGTGGCCAGGCTCGGTGGCTCAGCCTGTAATCCCGTGCCTTTAGGAGGCTGAGGTGAGTGGATTGCCTGAGCCTGCGGGTTCAAGACCCGCCTGGGCAGCGAGACCTCATCTCTACAATAAATCAAAAAATCAGCCGGGCGTGGTAGCTCATGCCTGTAATTCCGGCTACTTGGAAGGCTGAGGCGGGAGGATCGCCAGAGCCCAGCAGGTCGAGGCTGCGGTGACCAAGAGCGGCCACTGCACTCCAGTCTGGGCGACAGAGTGAGACTCCAACTCAAAAAAAAAAAAAAAAGTGGTACATACACGATGGAATGTTACACAGACATAAAGAAGAACAAAATCATGGAATCTGCAGCAAACTGGATAGAGCTGGAGACCATCATACTTTGTGTTCTTTTACAGAAACAAAAAACTGAATATCAAATGTTCTCATTTATAAGTGGAACCTGAACATTAATCACATTAGCACAAGGAAGGGACTGCAGTCGATGGATACTGCCAGGGGTGGGAGGGAGGGGGCACAAAGCATCACAAAGGATACCTGGTCCTAAAACAGGGGAAGTGAGAGCCAGCTGGAGGTTCACACTTCACCTACATGAAGCCTGCTTGTGTAACTAATCCTGACTTGTACCCCATTTATCTATTTTTTTTTAAAGTTAAACAAATCTTAAAAATTAAAAAAAAATGAACATTATTCAGGAGCTAAGCATAATATATACCAAATCGTTCTTGTGAAAAACAGTGTATCTACTTCAATACTTTAAAGAAGGGGGTCCCTAACTCCCAGGCCACAGACCAGTACCAGTCTGTGGCCTGTCAGGCACCAGGAAGAAGTGAGCAGTGGGCAAGCTAGCAAAGCTTGTTCTGTATTTACAGCTGCTTCCCATCACTCCCATTACCACCTAAGCTTTGCCTCCTGTCAGATCAGTGGCAGCATTAGATTCTCATAGGAGCAGGAACCCTATTGTGAACTGTGCAAGCGAAGGATCTAGGTTGCATGCTCCTTATGAGAATCTAATGCCTGAATATCTGAGGGGGAGCTGAGCTGGTAATGTTCGCACTGGGGAGCAGCTGCAAATACAGATTAACATTATGAGTTTTGACTGTACAGAGACCATAATAAACCAATTGCTTGCAGATGCATATCAGAGCCCTATCAATGAGTGGCAAGTAAGCTGATGTACTTAAATCGCACAGCTACAACTGGTAGTAGGCTTTAAGTCAGAATCTGACACTTATTTTAGTCTGTATGTGGCCTGCCCTTTATTTTCTTTATTACTTCCATCCATGCTCCTTCCCATATTGCACTCAAAGTTTCAGTAAGCCCACAAGCTAACCCTAGCCAAAATGAATAAAAAATAAACATCACTAGAGAGCTTCTTTGAGAAGGGAGAAAGACCCAGTGATGAGACAGCAGAAGACTCTAAGACTATCAACAAAAATAAAGCTGCATTTAAAATCAAATACCAAAAGTCCTGTTTAAATTACTAGCTCAGCCAGGCTGGGTGGCTCAGCCGGGCTGGGTGGCTCAGCCTGTAATCCCACACTTTAGGAGGCTGAGGTGAGTGGATTGCCTGAGACCGGGTTCGAGACCCACCTGGGTAACTTGGCAAGACCTCATCTCTACAATAAATCAAAAACTTAGCTGGGCATGGTAGCGCACACCTGTAGTTCCAGCTACTTAGAAGGCTGAGGCGGAGGGATCGCCGGAGCCCAGCAGGTTGAGGCTACAGTGGCAGGAAGTGGCCACTGCACTCCAGTCTGGGTGACAGAGTGAGACTTCAACTCAAAAAAAATAAGTATAAATAAATAAATAAATTACTAGCTCGTTGCAACAGGTGATTCACATCCTCCAAGCCCACTTTGTATAATATGTGGCGACCAGCTATCTACCAACGCCATGAAACCTTCAAAACTGCTTTGCCACATGGAGACAAAGCATGCTGCATTCAAAGACAAGCCTTTGCAGTTTTTCAAAAGAAAAAAATATGAACATGAAGCAAAGAAGCGATTATTGAAGGCCCTCAAATGTGTCTGCACTGAGAGCAACATTTTTAGTGGCTAACTGCATTGCTAAAGCTAAGAAGTCCTTTACTATTGGTGAGGCGCTAAACTTGCCTGCTGCTAAGAATATTTGTTGTGAATTTTTAGGAGAGGCTGTAGTTCAAAAGGTGGCACATGTTCCTCTTTCAGCTAGCACCATAACTAGACAAACTGATGAAATAGCAGATATTGAGGCATAATTGTGAGCAAAGATTAATGAGTCACCATGGTACGCAATCCAGATTAATGAGTCTACTGAGGTTGACAAGGCAACAATGCTTGTTTTTGTGTAATATATTTTTCATATATATATATATATATATATATATATATATATATATACACACACACACATGCAATTTTGTTGCCAACCAATACCACAGCTGCAGAACTATTCAAGTCTTTGAATGATTACATATTAGGAAAGCTGAATTGGTCATTTTGTGTCACCATATGCACGGATGAAGTGGCTGCCATAACTAGAACACCTTTCTGGTTTCACTACTTGAGGCAAAGAGATCGTTTCGGAATGTGGATCTATGCACTGTGTCATTTGTAAAGAAATGCTGGCTAGCTGAAAAATGTAACCCGTACTTAACAATGTTTTGGAGGATGTGATTAAAATTATCAACCTCCTGAGGCCGGGCTCGGTGGCTCAGTCTGTAATCCCAGTGCTTTGGGAGGCCGAGGTGAGTGGATTGCCTGAGCCCATGGGTTCAAGACCCGCCTGGGCAACTTGACGAGACCTCATCTCTACAATAAATTAAAAATTAGCTGGGCATGGTAGCATGCACCTTTAGTTCCAGCTACTCGGAAGGCTGAGGCGGAAGGATTGCTGGAGCCCAGCAGGTCGAGGCTGCGGTGGCTGGGAGTGGCCACTGCATTACAATCTGGGTGAAAGAGTGAGACTCCAACTCAAAAAAAAAATTATCAACCTCATTAAAGTACATGTCCTTAACTCACGTCTGCTTATGCAGTTCTGTGAGGAGATGGGTACAGAGCACACACGTCTTCTCTTATACACAGAAGTGAGATGGCATTCTTTCTTTCTTTTTTTGAAAGCAGGATTTATTGAAAGGACAGAAAAGCTCCCACAGCAGGAGGGGACTCGAAGGGGTTGCCGAGTGATGTGGCTTTCTAAAGGTAGATCACTGGCCAGAGTTTTTAGTTATGAGAGCCACTCTAGAGATTTCTTTTGGAAAAAGTCACCACTGGCAGCACATTTCAGTGGCACAGAATGGGACACAAAACTTGTTTGCTTATGCAACATAGTAAACTGGCTCAACGAACTCAATCTGTCACCTCAAGGGAGACTAACAACTGTATTCAAGTTGACAGATAAAGTGGCTACATTCAAAGCCAAACTGAGATTCAGGGATGACAAGTGAACACAGGGATTTTTGACAAGTTTCCAACATTAGCAGAGATTTTGAAGAAGACTGAGTCAGGGCCTTCTTTCTCCCAGCTAGTGCATGATCATCCATCTCAGCTTTCAAAAGTTTGAGCATTACTTCCCAACCATAAAAGACCCCTTAACTGGGAAGAAATGGGTCCGTGACCCATTTGTGAATAAGCCAGATGAATTGACTTTGTCCGTGCTAGAAGAGGATCAACTACTTGAGACTGCAAATCACAGTGACCTTAAAAGTATGTTTGAAACAACTTCAGATCTCCATACATTCTGGATTAAAGTCAAGGAGTAATATCTCGAGACAGCCACAAAAGCACTGAAAAGCCTGCCTCCATTTCCAACATCCTATCTTTGTGAAGCAGGGTATTCTGCAGTGACAGCAACCAAAATGAGATTACAGAGTAGACTGGACATAAGCAACACACTTGGGGTGCCACTGTCACCCCCAGATAGGACCATCTAGTTGCAGGAAACCAAGCTTAGGGATCCCACTAATTCTGCATTATGGTGAGTCATATAACTATTTCATTATATATTACAATGTAATAATAACAGAAATAAAATGCACAACAAATGTAATGCACTTAAAATCATCCATAAACCATGTCCCACCCCCAGTCTGTGGAAAAATTGTCTTCCACGAAATCAGTTCCTGATGCCAAAAAGGTGGGGACCACTACTTTAAAGACCAAATGAGTAACAGAAGCTCAAACTACATTAATAGTCTTGAAAATTTCATCATTGGCTTTTCTTTTTGCTACTACCTATCATAATAGAGGTTTCTGAAGATACTAAGTTTTAAAAATATTTTATAGGAAAAAACAATGCATGTGACCTTGCATCACAGGTAAAGGTACGATATTTCTGTTATACTATGTGCAATGGTCATTTTAAAAGAAAACATATCACTCACTTAAATTTTCAGATGTTACCATGAATTCTTCAATTTCATCATCAGAATCATCTATTAAGGGCATGAAGGCATATCTATACCAAAAACAAGGAACAGTGTTACTAGTATACTTCTTCCATTTTCATTTTACAGCTAAAAAGTCACTGTATACAAAACAACCTACAATTTAAAAGTGTCTTATAAATTAATGAAAATTTGATTATTTTACTCTCAAATTAGCTAAGATTATTATGAAAAAAATGAGAAACTGGAGTTATCAAACCCTGTTTGTAAAAGCATAAATGGAAAAATTTTTTTGAAAAACAATTTTACAATATTGAATATTCAAGAAAGGGAAACTTTCTGCTGTACTTAACTTTCTCTATGTCAGGTTTCCCTCCCTGCTCACTACTTTTTAGCTTATTCCCTAATGAAAGAGAAGTTTTTAATCTGATTGATGAAAATAAAGCCCACTGATTGAGCCACATTTATTAGGTGATAAGATCACACAGCCAACTCTCAAAAATACTACTGATAAAGTGTGAATCAAGTTAACTTTTCTTTCTTTCTTTTTTTTTTTTCTTTGAGTTGGAGTCTCACTCTGTCACCCAGACTGGAATGCAGTGGCCGCTTCCAGCCACTGCAGCCTCAACCTGCTGGGCTCCGGCGATCCTTCCACCTCA